GTCAGTCTCCACTCTGACCACAGCATCTTTATCAATCAACTTGACTGGACATTTCTGTTATTGTGATCTGGAATTTCTTACCCTCTCCCTGATACCTTAGTTTAGCCCTCAGTTCCCATATGACTTCACTTGCCACACTAAACAGCATTGGCCCCAGAGCTGGCCATTTCATCAATAATGTCACCAGTACCCTAAAATCTCTCACTTCCCTGGGTAACTATCAACATCTGAATTCTCTGCTTTCACACCCAAATCATTCATTATTGCTGAAAGCAATCACAGAACACTGCTAGTTGTTTCTACTATGTCATGCTGTTAAAACTCATAGCTACTCTAGTTTTTATTCACATCATTAATTAAGCCCAGTACTTATTCCACACTTTTTTGTGCTCCTTTATGATTCTTCCAGCAAGACATCACGTCCAGTTTACAGAGATGATTGAGCCCTCTGAGTGTTATCAACTTCCCTTCTCTTCACCTCAGAGTTTTTTCTCTTTACTGACTCTCTGTGAGTGAGCTCTTCAGTGACAAGCCCTTGTTTTCTGTGAGGCCTTGCCCACACACTCTGGTAGCAGAAATCTCATTTGCCTCTGACCCCAGAGGGGTCTTTTCTCTGTACAGCTTATTTTCTGCTTAGTATATGAGAGTACTTCAGAAAGTTCCTGGAAAAATAGAACTAAAAGGTAATATGAATCTTTCCATGACTTTTTGAAGTACCTTCTTCGTATGCTACCCATGACCTCAAGGATATTACAGTCCAGCTGGAAAGATAGAAAGTAAAGTTTGTAACAACAAATAACCATATAGTATGAGTATGTTGGCATTTTATTGCTGAAAGAGTAAAGCTTACAGAAGATAGGCAGAAGCCTTTAAAAGCACCTAAGCAAACTCCTAGATAGTTTCGGTAAGGAAAACAGAAACCAGTGGTTAAATGATTTGCCCAAAGTCTTACAGTTAATTTAGAGGCACAAGACACTAAACTGTCAAGCTAAGTCTCTTTGTAGCATAGCACACCAACTTAAAACCAGTATAACGTGTTCATGAATTATACTGCTGTTTACACTTGATCCAAACTTATTCTTTGCTTTAAACACTCTGTCCTATTTGGAAACCTTCTCAACGTCCCATTTTATCTAGTATGAACATTCCTCATAGAATATTTAATGCTAATTCAGAATTCCATTCAAATACTACAGCCCTTCCTCCTCATTCTTTACTTTGTAGTCAGTGTGCTGTAGTGGTCAAAGCAAGCCTTTTGGAGTCAGACACCCCAGAATTTGAATCCCAGCTTTACCCATTTACCAGAGCTAGGCAGCCTTAGACATGCTTCTTTACCTCTCTAGGCCACAACATCTTCATCTGTAAAGTGGGTTTAAGTTAAATAATTTACATAAAATGGTTAGCAGAGTGTTTGACAGTTATGAGCAGTAGATGTTTAACAAACGTCCATTTAATCATAATTATCTTAGTAGTGCCTTTTACTTCCCTCCCCCTTTTCTTTCCTGCCTTCCTAGATCTCATTTCCAGGTAGCCCTACTCTTCTCTTCTTACCTCTGCTCCAGGGCTGCTTATTTTAACTATCATTTCTACCCACTCTGTGCCCAGGAATTCTAAGTCCACAACTATAGCCCATACTCTCTCTGGAGCTTATTTTTATCTGAACTCATCTGGCTTCATAGTAGCATCTCAGTTAAAATGTGTGCAAAACCAAACCTGTCACCTCCTCTCCAACCCACCTGTCTTCAATAAATGACAGCCCCACTGTTTCTGTTAGTTATCATAAGGTTTTAGTTGTAGTGTAATTTTATAAATGAATATAAAGTTGTAGTGCTAGAAATTTCCATTCTGCCATGGCTGGAGATAACAAAGAATTCTAAATCAATTGAAGTTGATTCCAGCCTAGTAGGAGAAAGTCTCATGCACAGTCAGCCCTCATTCATTTTTTCTCCTCCACTCAGAATCATCCTAGCTTTGGTAGGTAAGGTGCCAGTGGAAAGTGGGTAAGAGGTAAAGAGAGATTAAATATTTGCCTAATGTTAACGCTAAGCTGCTAAAGAACATCAAGGGTTATTTCTCCTCAGTGCACTAAAACAGCCTTTTGTGGCTGAGTATTAGATCTCTGTAAAGTACTTTGAGGTGGCTTGGGAAACTCAGTCATGATCTCCAGCTGTTACCAAAGCCAGCCTTGCTCTGGAGCAGCCCATATACCTATTAGTCCTTATGTGCCAGGAAAATGCTGTAAAAGACAGTGAGACACAGGGAGCTCATCCTGGTCTCAGTCATACACAAGTGTGTCAGTGCAAGCTAACCCAGACCCTCAAGCCCATTTACCTGGACCATCCCTTGGCCTTAGCCCTTGTCAAATATGGACTTCTGAACTGTGACATGGGCTTGCCCACTCAAACCGAGAGCAAGGCTCACAGCCTCCAGTTTGGTCTGAGCTGCAGGATCTGTCTTTAGCCTTGTTCCCTGGCTTTCTTGCAATTGCACACCTCTCCTGATGAACCAGTCTGCCCATCCCAGGCATCTGCTCCCAACTTTGTCCTGTCCTCAAAGCCCTAGATTACTCAGTGCAGAAATCAATACCAAAAGGACCAAAAGAAATCCCTGTTAGAAAGAATGGGTTGTTTTAGGGTGTTCTTTTCATCTCACCATAGAAGAATTTAGGTAGACATCTGTTTATTAATATCTACGGTGTTGCAGGCAGTATATTAGGTACCCCACATAGTTCATTATTTCATTTTACCCTCTATAAGGAGGTATAAAATCCCTTCTATAATTGAGAAACCCAGGGTTAAATTATTTCCCCAAATTTATATGTTGTAAGTGGGACAAAATTAGGATTCAGACCTATATCTATCTGACATCAAACCTTCTGTTTTTTCTCCTCCACCATGCTGATGGTAGATGTGCAGTAACTTAGGCAGAATGTTGGTATCTATTGCAGTCATTGTAATTGGATTTTTACCTACATTCTTTAATAAATATTTCTCAAGTGCACTGTGCTAAGGCTGGAGTTAAAAAGAATAATTCCAGATTTTTGCTGTCAAGGAGCCTATACTTTAAAGGACAGGTATGATTTGCTCTACTAAAAGTACAGAGGGGAAAGTGGCCAGAATGAAAAGCAAGAAGAACCTAACAGATCATAAGGTGTTGACCGTCATTCAGAGAAGTATTAGTTTCTGTCCACTACACAGTGTGGCACCATTAAAGAGATTTAAGCAGAGGAATGACATCATCAGTTTTACCTCTTTAGAAATTAATTTTGGTAACAATATAAAGGACAGATTGAAAAATAATTATATGGGAATGAGAATAAAGGCATAATTACAGTGTTCCAGGTGAGAGATAATGAGGGTCTTCACTAAGACGGTGAGGGCAGAGAGAACAGGATGACTAAGGAATGACTGAACAGAGGAACGTGTAGCAACATTTGGTTCACCACATTTGGGCAGTCACAAAACCTATTACCGTCCCAGATTCGTGATCTCCCCATTTACCTTTTCTCCAAATTAAAACAAGATAAATGATAGTTTTCAATTCATGATATGGTTTTTCATTTACTTCGCGTAAGCAGTACTTTGCATGATTTTTTTACATTTTCACATCTGGATCATACAATGAAAAATTGTGGGGAACTCTCATAAATTTCATGAAATCTTTCAACTTCATCATGAAAACTTCAAAGTTAAAAACATATGGTTCATCCATCCAACTCTTCTGGTATGTGAGCTTTTGGTCTGGAATTTATTTCCAGTCAACTTGTAGTGTAAAATCACAAGTCAAATTGCCATAGTTACTCCACATTACAAGTTCTAACATCATCAGGATACTGCATTAGGGACAATTATTCATTTCGTTTTTCTTTTTCTCTTCCCTTAGCGCAGGACTCAACAGTTGTGACTTGTGAACTTCTTGGTTTTTTGTCTTTGACTAGTATTGATCATGACCTGCTTATCTCATATACTCAAGGAAAGACATTGTATTATTCTCTTCTGTGGGAAAAAGGAAAGATATAAGTGGATTTTCTTTTTCCACAAACTTTTTGAAGTACCCTCGTGCAGTTGTACATGTATACGTACACATTCACGTTCACACACATGTGTACATAATCATATAGACATATAAACATATCTATGATAAACATTCAGTCTTTATGATATATAACTAGCAGGTTAATGGGTTCTGAGGACCAATTTGACTATTCCATCACATTAATCATGATATTCACAAAATTTGTTCCATTTCCCTGTAATGTATATAAAGAAACAATAGATTGCTTTGGCCAGATATTTTTAAAACTATTTTACTTTTGTAAGTTAGAGGACACAGAATAGGAAATACAAAGCTGAGAAGGAAGATGTATCTGCATCAGTATTTTACTAACATAATATACCTTAAAAATTATTTCTAAATATCTACTAATTTTGTACAGTATTTTATAAATATTTTACTGTCAGTGAGATATTTACTATTAAAGAATCATTTTAAGCATTTGCTAGGTACATCTAATTTCTCTTACCTTCATCTCTTCACTTACAAAACAAGAGAATACAGTCCTAAAACTGTATAAAATAGCTGCCTAAGATCATGATATTAACTTAATGTGTCTTTAAGTCAGCATTCTCCAGAATCTAATGTAATTGAAATAGCTTTGCCTGTGTAAACTTCTCCTTTGTTTAAATAAGATTTCTCTGTTTAGCTTTGCCTTAAGCAAATGCAGCCTTTTGTTTGTCCATAAAACATTAGATTAAATGTATAGACTAATATGAATAGCTTCTCATCATTCCACATGTGCCACTGGCAGTTGCCCTCTTTGCTAGTGGGTGGTATATTATTGTCATTGAAAAGTAGGGCCTACCTTAGCCTGCTTGTTGGGGAAATTAAATTTTTGACAAGAAAACCCTCTATCTCCTTATCATTATTGATGTTAAATTTGAAAGACTGTGTGAATGTTAATGTTCTTGATACAGTGAATTTATATAAGTATTTGCTCTCATAGGACACTGAGTTTTTGTATTTGTTTTATTACTGGATACCAGTATTATCTAGCTATCTTTGCTGCTCTAAAAAAGTTTAGTATTTGGCCCTTTGTAGGAAGAAGTAATGTACAGTAAATCTGTGGGAGATTCAATTTGTTCCCTCCGATCCAAATGCAGTTTGTTTTCTGGTTTCTATTTTTATGAATGGTAATTTAGAGATACAGGGTTTGGTTTCTCTGTTTATTTTTCATTAAGGCTAACATCAGACTCCCAATGGAGAGGGCAAGTGCCATGATATTCTTGTAACATATGCATTTTTCCTGTTTAGGCCATGCTGGATGTGGCTGCAAACCAGGGCTGGCTGGTGACTGTGCTGAATATCACCAACCTGATTCAGATGGTGATCCAGGGCCGGTGGTTAAAAGACTCTTCTCTTCTTACAGTACCAAACATAGAACCTCACCATCTTCACCTTTTCAGGTAATTGTTTTAATTTTCAGTGTAATTGTGTTATTTTAACTTCAAAAAATACTTGTTTTATATATGTGTAGTCACTGGAATTTCATGTTGTGCCTAGAGTATTAATTATTTACACTGAAAATGCTCCTTTTTCCCAGAGGGAGACATGACCTAGTAACATAACATTCTCACTTAGAATTTGATCAATAGTCCCACGCCGAACTGCAATTCATTTTAACCTTCTCCTACCTAAATTGTTTTCCATTTGCTGGCATACATTTCTATTTTAACTGTGATTATTCCTTTACAGTATCAGCCTTTATTTGAGATGACATTATTAAAGTTCTTTGTGATCTAAAGCAAAATAAATTACCAATTTCTGTTATTGCAGAAGAGATTTGAGGGATCTGAAATCCATTGTCCAAAGTATATGTCCAAAACTCTGTTGTTAAGAGCTCAAGATATAACCTGTGCTTAAACGAATTGAGTTTATATTAGCATCAAATTATTTAACCCTTAGGTCTCATGTACATGGCTACAAATATTTTAGCAAGGAAAAGAACAGTACATAATACAAGCAACGTTGGCAGTGTTTAAATGAAATGTTTCTTTCACACCAGTTGAGAGATACTTTGCAGCCAAAATGTTTGTTCAAGTCATATAGACAGCAAAACAGTCTGGCTGTAGCTTTTCATCATGCACACTCTGCCTCTTGTCAGCTGGACAAGGGGTGGCAGTCATTTGAGGCATCTTGATACAGTAGCCAACAAAAAATGTCAGGCACACATGGGGTCCCCTCAGGAAAGTCCCTCCATTTGACTCACGTGTACTGGGGTCCAGGGCAGTTGTCAGCATGGTACCTGAGTCCCTATCATGGGATGTCCCTGGAAACTAAAAGACACATGCAGATGATGAGCCATACCAGCAGCAGGTGGCATGGGGAGAAAGTCAGACACCTAATATGCGCCTGCATCTCAGTTTCAGGAACGCTTCCAATATGATACTAAAAGTTATGAGAGTTGGGTTTCAGCAGTAAAGAAGGTGCATTAAGGTACTACCCCACACAGCACCAGGTCTGTTACAGAAGCTGCTGGGGGCCTAGGAGATTTGACCCAGTTTTCCTGGCACCCTTAAGATGCCATGTTAAAATAATTTCAATTGTATTTTTCTTCTTGCTTTAAGATGTAGGTGGCCCATGTTCCTGGGCTATGGCACGAGTTATGCTATAAATCTCAGACATTTCCAAAATGTACTTTTAATTTTATGTTTCCAACAATTTATAATTTAAAACTTTATTCAAGTAATTATATTAGAGACATTTGCCTGAATCCATTAAAAACATGTCAGGGCACCAGATCAGTACTTTATTCACATGGAAGCATTACTTCATATTAGTGCCTTCCTGTAGACAGACACCTACTGTGTGTGAACCCTAAGTATCTACTGAGATCTCTCATGATTTACACATTCTTTGCAATGTTAGTAATACTGCTGTGGGTTCATACTTAGAGAATGCTGGCTGATTTTTAAAACTTACCATAATGGCCTTTAAAATGTTATATCCTAATAAAAAAAAATTCTAATTACATAAACCACCAGTGTCAGAAAATCTCGTTTGTGCTGTGAAATAATTATTTGATTGTTGTTGATATTATTTCTTAGGAAATGGAACCCAATTATAAAGGGCCCACGTGCTGGGTCCCGGGCCTCCATCGAGTGCCTTCCAGAACTGATCCATGTCTGTGGAGGGAAAGAACATGTATTCAGCTCCATGGTAGAAAGTGAACTACATGCCGCAAAAACAAAGCAGGTAAGAATCTTTTCCATATTTTGAAGGCTTCCTACTCAGTCTGAGAAATTGTACCAAGAATTTTCTAATTCAGAGCATGGGTTTTCAAATCAGGCTCACCTGGGCTTAAATTCTATCTCTGCCATTTACAAACCATGATTGTGAACATGAAAACCTTGTATCTGTCCCATGTTCTTGTGAAAACTAAACAAGATATTATTATGTAAACTGCTTTATATAGTTCTTGATGTAGAATAAAAACTCAGTAAATGATACTAAAAATGATGACAGTCATCATGATTAATAGTAGTACTGGCATTATTAGAAGTTGTTTTAGTGCAATGCTGTTAAGCCAGCTGTGAAAGGCCTCTTGGGGCTTGTCCATCACGAGGCTTCATTACCAAGGAGCCCTTCTACTCCCTTTCTTTAGGGTACTTTTTCTTTTTTTTAATGCTTGAGTATATTTTCATGCAATTCCCTCAGTTACTTGTTTATTCCCCCCTTATTTTAATCACTTTATTATTCCTAAATTCTAAAGTATTCTTTCAAAAACTCATGATTTAGTGAACCATATAACTTATATAGAAAGTTAAATCTATGTTCTGAAAGAAAACATGGGTCATCTGTCCAAACATTCTTTGGGAAGGCCAAAAATATGAATGAATGATGCCAGAAATATTTGTCTATCTGGATTTTAAGACTTAAGCAACTTTACCCTAAACATGTCAAAATAAACGTTCAGGATTTATAACATAATTAACATATTGACTTGCAAATGCAGGTATTAAAGAAACTTCTAATCTGTATCTTTTTTTTTTTCCACATGAAACTTTCTGAGCAAATCTTGGGAAAAGTGTAACAGGCATAAAAGTCCGATTGTTCAGTTTCTGTTGAACCCCAGATTGGCACAAAAAACTATTTAAATATTCATAATAAATGCCTACCTCTCTAACTAAATTACCATCCAAATTATGAATAAAAACAGTATATTTAAGTCAAAACAAGTCTTCTGTTAACAGATTTCTGACATAACATATATTGATTTTAAGCCAAGTTTTAGATGTGATGAAAAATTAGAACATTGTTATAATTAGTTCAGGGAGAACTCAGAAGTAAACTTACTTAATTTATTTGCATAAATTGCCATTCTGTTATCTTTAAAACCAAATGCAAATTGGCTCTGTCTGATATGATGATGGTTATTTGGCTCAAAAGTGCTTCAATTTGCAGAGCAATCTGGTGTCGGCTCTGCAGTGAGACGATCCCAGGTAACATACAAATCCTGAATTATTCCAGAAATTAGTATGTTTAAAGCATCAATTTAAGTGCTAATTGCAGTAGTAATGAGAAAAAGCAGTACGACTGTGAGATTTGCATCTTCTACCCCATCAGTATGCCTGGAACGGCTGCTGACTGGCAGAGGATTTGGCTGCTAATTAAATAATTGTATGCATGGCAGTGCTCTTGCCTGATTCAATAGATGAAGATTAATCCTCAGATAAATATGTTTGGCTGGTGTTGAAATGTCTTTGCAGTTTCTTTGAAAATAGCTCATGTTTTATATACATATATATATATATATATATATACTCAATAAATATATGTAAACACATTATAGGTTGAAAAATAATAATATTAAATCCTATAGAAAGATTATATAAATATAAAAGCCAGATATGACTTTTGGGGGCTTTGTAAAGTAGAATCCTAATGAGTTGCTAATAACAGAAGACATTATATTGGTAACTAGTTTAATAGTACACATAAAAAAACATCTTAAGTCTTGCTTCATGTGGTGAATGTTGTTTCACAAAATTAAATGCTTTATAGAAGTTGTGTATTTAAGTGTTCCCTTGACCACTTTTTCACACTGGTCAGTCTAAAAGAACATCAAGTGGTACAGTTTCTATACTCAGTGACTATTGGTTCTAGCAGGGGAAAGACCATCATTTGTACTTGAAGTGCATTCTGTGGCTTGACTATTTCAAAATCTAGTTCCAGACATAATTTTGTATTCATAAGACAAGTTATAGGATTGGAGCTGAATTGAAAATTTGTGTTGAATTTACATTTTTTTTATTCCTAAGGATAGTTTGGTTCATCAGGGCTACTTCATTTCAATTAGGTATCCTCAGCAGCACTAAAGTCTTAGCAAATGAAATCAAAGCCTATAAGGGAATCTATAGCGTATATTAAAGAAGTAAAAGGAAAACCAAAATTTAAGTACTCATGTACTTTTAAAAACTGATAAAACAGCCAATGTATTGAGAAGTTTTCTTGACTGATAGTGATTTTGCCAAATAATTGTAAATGTTAGAAAAAGATGACAATTACCTGAGGACCTCGAGTATATTTTGTTATACCCTTTCCATGGACCTAAGAATTCATTCATTCTTTCGTTCATTCATTTGAGCAGGTAACTATTTAAATATAGATTTCTTACAAATGTTTTTCAATTTAAAGAGCGAGACTAAAATTAATAAAATATTTTCTACTTTTTTAATATGTTATTTTAATAGGTAGTTTCCACATGAGAATGCCAAAAATACATATTTGTTTCTAGAAGGAACCCTAGACTTATAGGATTTCTTATGATATATAGACATATAGAAATGTTTTCCTTTTAGAATAAATAAAATAAATTTGGAAAATGGCCAAAATAATTGTATAATGTGTCCAGTGGATGATACTGACATCAAAAACTATCTCACAAATTTTTTTTCAGGTTGCCTTTACATCCCCAAGTAATGCTGTCCACCTTAGAAGTCACATAAATGTTAGAATAGATGCTTCTCTAAAACAAACCAATTCAACAACAAACATTTCTAAACTTACTATTTTTTAGTATAGTGAACAGCCACTCAATATCAGGAAGGATTTGCAATAAAGGGATCACAAGTTTAGATAATGATATATCCTTTTTTAGTTGTTGTTTTTTTGGCTTTTTGGTTTTGATAGCTGGCCAATACAGAGATCCAAACCCTGGACCTTTGTGTTACAAGACCACACTCTAATGAACCAAGCTATCTGGTCAGTCCCATTTTTTTTTTTTTTAAACAAGGACTTTGAAAAGAGTAAAACCACACTATTTCTAACACACACTTGAGTACGAGAAAAACTGGGGAAATCTGAGCAAGTTCAGTGGATTGTATCAATGTCAGTATCCTGGCTGTAATATTGTACTATAGTTTTGAAAAA